GGAGCTGGGATCTCCCAACCGCACACATGCCCTGGATAGTGAAAGGTTAGTGGCCGGTGCCGGTTCCCCAACACACAGGCTACCTACCCGTGGCCTGGCCGGTTGTGGCCAGTTTGCATGGCTTGTCATTACCCCCCCCCCCTCCCCCCGCATACCCTCACTTCAAGATGGGAAAACGGAGACATTGAAGCGCAGGAGGGACTTTCCCCCTGGGGCCCCCAAACCTCTTACAGCTGTGCCCTGCATCTTCAGGAGCCTGTCAGAGTCTCACGCTTATTCCCAGGTCTGAGGATGTGCAGGCAGGAAGAAATACCTCCAGTTGGTCTGCTGGAAGCATTTGTAAGGCTTCTTTCACTCCCCAGCACACTTTCACTGGCGCCTGCTCTGCCCCAGCCCTGGGCTGGGCCCTGGAGACCTTGATGAGTCAGGCCTGCCTCCAGAGCCCCCTGCCCAGGGGCCGCCACACTGCCTGTGCCCTCTGCCTCGTCCAGGGCTGTGGGCTGGTCCGGAGGACCTCAGGCTGGGCCCTGGCTCGCTGTGGTTGCTGTTAAATGAGGCTGTGGCCTGGACACACACACAGGACCTCACCTCCTCTGCCCAGGCCTTCCCTGCTCCCAGAAAGGCCTTCTTCATGGACAGCCATACTGCCCTCAGCCCGTGCAGGATCTCTCCATGGCCTTGGGAATAATGGCAGTGTTCTTTGCCTGCCAGTCTCACCCCTCTGAGGCCCACTCACCTCTCCACAGGCCCTCCTCACTTCTCTCACTTCCCAGGCCGTGGCTGCATTTAAAGCTGCCCGTGCGATCAAGGATGCCCCCAGCTTCCTATAAATTCCAAGTCTTTTGCCCTTTCTGTTCCAGCACCACCCCATCAAGGCAGACCAGAGCTGGGTCAGGGCCTCCTTCAGTGCCACCAGCTTCCGTGCTCCCTGTTCATCGTGGTTGCCTGCCCCTTGCGCACGTGTTTGTCTCCACCAGTGGGGATGGAGAGGGGCTCCTGGGGAAGGGCAGTGGCCATGTCAGCCCAGGGCCCGGCACAGATGACCTGGGGAGAAGTGTTTGTTGAAGGAATGTTGTTTTGTCTCTTTCTCTAAAAGCTGAAACCAAAGAAAAATGCCACAACAGCTAAAAGCCTTCTGTGTGTCAGAGGTTCGAGGCTTGTTTGCCTTCTCAGTTGGTACAAAATGCGCATCAACCACAACGCTTCTGAGGGGATTCTCTGGTCCCTCTGCCAGAGCAGGGGGCCTTGGAGGTGACCGCACCAAACAGGGAGTCTTGGAGACGTTAAGCAGTAGGAGCAGAGGGGAAGGGGCAGCCTCCTTCACATACACCCTCATTGATCCTGTCCCTCCAGTGGGGACCTGGGGGAGGCACTCAGAGCAGTAGGCTGATCGCTAAGGTGCTCTGTCCAGCTAGGGTGCTGGTGCTCCAGAGTAGGGAGCAAAAGAGAAGAGGGGAGGTGAGTAGGGAGTGGAGGTGAGAGGGCCAGGGAGAATGAAAACCCAGCCTGTTGGTGGTTTCTTCTTTTTTTAAGAGCCACAAGCTGAGATCAAAGGTGATATTTTTACAACAACTGAAATGGAAAACCACTGGGTGCACAGTGGGAGGTGAGCGGCCGGAACACAGGCCCCTTTATGCAGCCTGCGGCCACAGCAAGCACGCTACCCTCTGCAGAGTGCCATGGGGCGTGGGGGACAGTGTGGCCTCCGTCTTCCCGACTCAGCTCCCAGAAAGATGTAAGGGGGATGAGCCACAGCCCTCGGCGTCAGGAGAGGAAACGGTGGGCAGTGAAGGATGGTAATGAGTGAGCACCCGGGGCCCGACCACCCTCATCATTCCTGCTGCGGGGGTCAGAGTTACAGCTGGCCCCGTTCCATCCTCTCAGAGCCCTGTAAGCGAGGCTTACCGTTCCCCCCTGGGCTCCGGAGGAGAAAACCAAGGCTGCAGCGGGGGGGAAATGACTCGGTCAAGTCCCAAGGGAGTTGGGAGTACATTCAGGACTAGAACCCCCGGGGCTCCCGGTCCAACACCCTTTCTGTTCTCTGAAATCACTCCCACACTGACACGCCACGTCATTTATGGAACTGCCTCTATTACTGGCCCGAGCTGGCCCTGGCAGAACTGGAGCCATACTCCGCTGTACTACAGGCCTTCACAGTGCCATCACTGGACCGGCAGCAAGAAATGCACATTCTCAGGCCCAACCCAGACTTACTGAACCAGAAATTCCGGCAGGATTTCCCAGTGCTTAGTATTTTTTTTTTTTTTAATGTTTATTTTTGAGAAAGAGAGAGAGAGAGAGAGAGCACAAGTGGGGGAGGAGGAGACACAGAAGTCAAAGCAGGCTCCAGGCTCTGGGCTGGCAGCACAAAACTCCATGCGGGGTTTGAACTCACGAACTGAGAGATCATGGCCTGAGCAGAAGGCTGATGCTTAAGGGACTGAGCCACCCAGGCACCCCCCACCCTTCACCCCAGAGTTTAATATTTTAATGAGCTCTCTGGGTGATTCTGGTGCAAGCTAAGTTTGAGAATCTCTGTACTGCATCACCTCAGGTTCCACATCTGCAGTTCAGGGAAAATTACAATGCCCATCTCATAAGACTGAGCCCATTATCTGCTAACACATATGCTTGGTGTGTACCCTGTGCCAGCCATCCTTCTAAGCCCTTTAAAAATAATAACTGATTTATGGGGCGCCTGGGTGGCTCAGTCGGTTAAGCATCCGACTTCGGCTCATGTCACGATCTCGCGGTCCGTGAGTTCGAGCCC